TAAGGGCACTCTATCATTTCGTAATAAAAGCACGTCACCGGAAATTGTGTCTATTTAAAAAAACCCACATTTTTTAGGCGAATAGCCAACGAAAAGGGTTTGAAAACATGAATATGCTTCAGCCATATAAAACTAATCTACAATTAAAAAGTCATTTAATTGACTAATCTGTTTTTTATTTAAGGTTGAAACCTAAAATGTTTTAAATTTTGGCGAAGGATTAGAAAAGAATTGGGGTATTATAATTGGTAGATTAGCACTTTCAATAATCCACCATTAAAGGTGCGGAAGTAATGCTCCCCGAAATTCTTAACTTTCGTTATAGTCCAAAAATTAACGATTTCAAAGACAAAAAGTCTCAAGTTCAAGTTTTTCCTAAATACATATATTTTTTAAGAACTGGTATTTTGTCACAATATTCTATTTATGGGTGATTTTGGGGTTAAGATTTTAAAACAGAGTTGCATTTTGTTGGAAAACTGTAGAGGGCGTCACCATGTTCCAGAACAGTGGGGCAAAAGTCTCAAAGTCGAAAAAAGTTATTCGTTTCTAACATATAGGGTGCTGCATTATTGAGGGTATTTAGAACGCCCATGTACTTTCGAACAAATACGACGAAGTATAGTAAGACTTCGCAATGCATCGAACCCGGAGGTTGCCAGTTATTGATTATTAATTTTGTACTATTGTACCTGCTCTGAAAATGGATCCCAATAACCAAAGATACAAGAATATATAGTATACATATAAATTTTTGTAAAACTTCTACTACAAAAGTTATAACTGGAAATGTGGTTAAAGGTGGTCGGAAATATACATTTGTAAACTTTCAGACGTTTGTGAACGTCACTCGGATACTTTCAGAATAATAACAAAAATACGATTTAAAATTTTAACGTTTAACGCCATGTATTTCGAAATCATTTTCGGCAGGATCGTCTGCGCTTCTTGACATATTTTGCTTAGCGACATCTCTAGGATCTTGCCACCTCCACTCCGAATCAACTTTTTTAAACCATACAGTATTTTAGTTTTGCATTAAATTTTGTATTCTCCTACGTGGTTTTCTTGGAAAGGGCATACATCATAAGACTTGATTTGCACAGCGGATTTCAAGAGTCAGAGTATGTGCAGCATATGTTATAACTGGTAACACGCATTGTTCATATACTTTTTCTTCAGACATATGAGTTAAGACATATTAGTCAGACTACTTTTAAATATCTATTGCAATTTGCCAAAAACAGTCCAACTCAATCCTATTCTACGCTCTATATTGTGGGTTTGATTTGTATTTCGTGTCCGAGGTATTTGTACAATGCGTCTTTTTTACTTCGGAGTAGTTAGTCTATTATAATGTTTTGTGCAAGCACTGGATTTGTCATTATCTGAGTTTTCCTAGCATTTATACGGAGACCGACCTCAGATGCGGCTTGTACTGTTTCTTAATTAATCCGTTTTGCGTTGCCGATGTTATCTATGATAAGAATGATATCATCTGCGAATCCAAGGTGCGGCAGCATTTCTCCATCGATACTGATGCCTTTAGGATATCGTGGAGTTTTACGGTTGTAGTAGCATTCCTGTATATGTATTCTATAAGCCTTGTATATCTATAGTCAGTCTATTCTACAGTGGTCCAGTGCTGCTATTATTGATGTTAGTTCAACCGTATCGAATGCTTTATTAAAATCGACAAATACCAAGGCTAAGGGTTGATTGAATTCCACACATTTTTTTTCAAAATGGTTGCCCAAAATATGTTCGGCGGAACATTAGTGTTTCGCTTCCAATACCGTTTGCTCAAAATGGTCTTCAGTACCTATTATTTGCACTAAGATAAATACCTCATAAAAGTTGTAAGGATCTTTCTGAAAGTTTTTGTATTTTCCCAAACTGTCAACGTCAGTTTGAATTCGTCTCCTTAATAGATATTTTTGTATCTAGTAGCCTATAATGAACAAGAGTATTCTAAGTTTCCCATTTAAATTAATTCCTAGGGATCGAGTAATTCATTGAGCGGGTGCAATCATTACCTCGCCCTATCCATCTAATTAGATGCTGGTGGTTTCAAATAATTACTTTCGTTTAACATAAAATATGGGAGAACATCGTCGAGCATAAACCACATTTGTC